ACACACAATGTCTTAATGCTCAAGTAGGAACATCTTTCAACCTAAAGTAAGTTTATATTTCAGCCAAAATAAGATGCTGTCTTCCTCTGGCATGAAAATCAAAAGGAGAAGCTGTGACAAGGGTATTATGCAGCTAATGTTTCAAAATTAATTTATTAATACAAAATATTTGTAAGACATACACAGTTTGAATTAAAGACACAGCAAATAAAATACTCTGTGGGCTCTAAGGCACCCCTGTAATCTTGCTATGACAGGTCTGTTATCTTGGGATACTTTATACAAAGAATGAGGAATGAAGCACGGATTACAGAATACCTGAGGTATTGTCAAAGTGATGTACATGGAAATCAATGTGCAATCTGTAAAGTAAAAATCAATGTGACAATTCAAGATCACCAAATACACTCAACACATTATGCCACAGCAGGAGCAGTGATTATAGCTCCACTTATGAAAGGCACATGCAGCAAAAAGAGGTGTTAAACAATAGGGGGAAATGAAAAGCTTTGCCTAATAGTCAGAGATATGCATAAAGCCCACTTCACAGTGCCTGGGAAAACAAAATCCAGATTTCCCCTTCAACAGTCAATAAAATGTTTAGAAAAATCTGAGTGTAGTTCAAGTGTGATCTTCCACCTAGTCTACCAAGATGATTAAAATCCATAATCTACTATGCTCAGAAGAAGATAGGTTTTTTTTTTTTTGGGAAGCTGGATCTTTTCCCTATAGCAACCAGTTAGTTTCCTCATCTTGTACGTGCGAGGTGTGAAGGAGCAGTAATTTAGAAAAGATGTAGGAAACTGATGTGTATGCTTCTGCAACCTTGTTACACAGGGCACGTACTTATTTTTCCTACTTACAAGTAAATCTAAACTGAAAATTCAGTCACTGCCCTTTATACCCTGTACCTGAAGACAAACTTAAGATATGAATGCATGTATGTTATCAACTATCCATTTCCAAAATTAATACCCTTTAACTTCAGTAGATTCACATACTTCCACTACCTTTTTATGCAAATATATTTTTACAGTTTACCACTACATTAAAAAAAAAAAACCTCATATTATGCCCTGTTAACAAACAGAAGTAATGTAATTTACAAAAAAACTAATAGTAAACCCTTAACCAAAAACTTGTAAATATACAGAAACACATTTAAAAGATAAATCACATCTTTACAAGAAAACTCAAATTTAGCTACGCTACAACTCCCCTCCTCCCCCCAAAATACTTGAATTTTACAATGGGCAAGGCCATTGGATTACTTACATACTTGGAAACACTGTGCTAGATACAAAGAATCTAGCACAGCTCTAACAGGAGCTGTGCCAGCACCACCATTCAAGAGGGTTGCAAATTTGCCCAATCAAATCAAGTGATCGAGTAGCCACCAATAAAATCCACTTGCCAGAAACAGTCTCAGGGTATTCAGACATTCTTCCTATGTCAACTCATTCTGAAGCTGCAGCTAGTACTTTACCTTTGCTTACACTGTACCTAAAAATAGCGCCCAAGATGCTATGCAATACCATTAATATACCTTTACTTTGCACAAATTTGAAAAGCAGATCCGCAAGATGTTAGCGCAAATAAATCATAATCTAAAGAAAAAAATCTGAAGTGCTTAAGGCAATTCCTCATCTCCATATTCTATTTACAAAAAAAAGGAGACTGTTAGCAGCAAAAATCCAGCACTTGTGCATTAACTACTGTAGAGTAACTTCAAACTTTAAGGGCAAAATAACCCATACATTATTATTTAGAACAGCTATATCTTGGATATCAAAATAAGCCTTTTACGTACTGTGACTTATGTGCAGCATAAGTCACAGTACTAAGTACTTCAGCTTGTTTCAAACTAAGATACCATAATAGTTTAAGGGGGAGGGGGGGGAGATTTCAATTGTCTACATCTTGTGCATAATCAAGTGTGCCTTGCAGGTTTCCTTACAATTTGCTAAAATATGTTCAAGTAAATTATGTATCTGCATTCAATTTTTGCATTTGACTCAATGGTTACTGGTTTTTCCCCCCTTATGTGTGTTTACTTTGTGTAAAAGTAAGTGTATACTACTAGTTAAGGAAAACTTAGCAGGAACTGTAGCTAACTATCCCATATTGAAAAGTTAGAGATGGACAGATAGGAACAGAAACTAACCTTTATTACCATCAACTTAAGAGTCTCAAAATAGAAACAAAGCTTACACCTCCCTTCAAAATCACAATTTTGAGCCCCATCCTGCATGCCTCACTCCCTCAATTCACTGGACATTTATGAATGCTCACGTTGCTGCATTAAGGACCTGATTCTCCAAAAATGAAGGTAATTAGGATGATGGCTTTACTAAGACAACATGGACTGTCCCAGAGTATGACGATAAGCTGATTCAGATGTTATTGAGCTCATTTAGCACAAAACCATTCGCCAATCATTTGAAATTGTTTTCAGTTTTGTACATTTAAATTGGACAAGAAATGCAGCAAAGGAGAGAAAACATACTGGAAGCTGTTTTCTTCCTCTTTCCCCACAAAAAAGATTTGTATAACCATATTATAAAATAAGCCTGAAAAACAAGCCGTGAGAAAATGTTAAATTCATATGTGGAACTGAATACCAAAAGAAGGTAGTCAGCTTATCCTCAGTTTCTGAAAAAGGAGTCGCAAACGCTGTGCAACACCACTGGAGATCATGGGCCAAATTCAACTACGTATAAAACAGATTAAATACATCTGATTTTGCCTGTGATCTCCAAAGTTGTTGCATGAGATTTCTTCACTCTACTTTCCTTCAAGAGGAAGACCTGAAGTGCTCCTAAACTTAGATGAAGGTCTCTGTTTCCAGGGACTGAATGTGCAGAGTGCAAATTGTCCCCTCCCCATATCCCCCAGTTCAACTCCCAAGAAGGGAGGCATTTCACCACAGCCACCAGCATTATGCTCGTAGAAAAGTCTTAGTGTGACTGTGCACCATAAGAGACCTTTAATTATAGAACTAAAATCGGTCACAATATTGTCCATCATCTGCAGGTCATTTTGTGGGACCCTTGACTACAATAGGAAGGGAAACTGATTAAAAGTGGCTAAGAGATTTAACACTAGTACAAAACTTTGAGACTTTTATACTAAAATGTTTTCTTAGCTCTCTCCATTAACATGAATAATTTTGCTACTGTATGCAAAGGTTTGCTGCTAAGGATATTCTCTAGATAGTCACTAGATATTCTCTACAAGTTCTTCAATTAGCAACTGGTTGCCTCAATAGGGAGAAGTACATGGAGAGCAGACATCCATATGAAATTGCTGTGGGAGGGGTCTGAATCTGTTCCATTTATAAAACAAAATCCCTTATACTGAAGAGTGATTCTATTATTTGTTAAAAACTTTGAGTGCAGCATATGTCTCTCCCAGAGCAGCATAAGAACGATAAACAGATTTTATAAAAAGCAATCTAGATTAGCAATCTTTACAAAGGAGTACAAACCATTAAAATGAGAGGAGGAGGAGGAGGGCTGGTGCGGTGGTCTAGTAACAGTTTGATGCTCTGTCCTGTTTCAGGGGAGAAATCCAGGGCTGGAAAAAGTAGACACATTCAGTCCCATTAAAGGGGTGAGAGGAGGAAATTCAGCATTGTTTAGTGACCACCTCTAGTCAGCACCACCAGAATTATTTCATTCTGGAGATCGCAGGCAGTAAGGAAAGAGTTGCTTGGGAAGCCTTTCAGATGGGACAGTGCATTTAAAAAGGTAAGAGCTTGAGGGGGTTCAGAACTAAAAAAAGTTCAGAGCTTTCAAAGATACACAAAGTGGTCCTACCCATTTAAATTATGCTCTTGTATTTTTAAGCTCCTAGTAGCTTTCCAGTTTTGTAGTCTCATTCCATGTAGACAACCTTTTGCTAGTGAGTAGTTCTTACTATTCACCCTCTACTTGGGTTAGAAGTGATACAGGTGGGGTTCAGCAGTAAGTGATGTGCTGCCCAGTCTAACTTTAGAGATATTCATATGCCTTGCTTTTTTGAAAGGAGCAAGAGTGCATATAGTAGATTAAGTACGATGAACCGATCTGCTACATTAATGTGCATGGATACTATGTAATTTAGTGAAATTAGTGGTACTATTTCTTCATTAAAATGAATGTAATGTCATAAGTGCAACATAGAATGAGTGTTGGGCTGTCTACTAAGCTTTATCTTAGCTGCATTCTTGAAGTCTTAAAACACCTCCTCACCACCACCATCTTTGCATGTTTACACACTTCTAATGAGTTTGAAAACTTTAAATTATATAAATCTGGTTGAAACAGGACAAAAATCTTATTTAAACTGCATATTAAAAACAAGACACTTAAATATAGAAAGCATGGAAGCACTTTAAAGCCTACCCATACTCCAAGCTGGATGCTTAAAAAAGTAATCAAATATAGCTGAAAGCTTATTAAGGGTAACATTGGGGAAAGTGTGCTATTATGCATATCTCCCCAATAATCTAAGTAGAGGGCTCACACAGTAAAGATCAGGAATGCTCTGAAAACATTAGTGTAAAATTGATGTGAAGTCTTCATTTTCACTAAAGTGATGCAGGATTACTGAGCTCGTGTTCTAACTATGAATAGCCTATAAAAGGATACTCAGCACTGTGCCCATTTAGACAACTAAAGACCACAACAAAATGATGCACTATTTATTCAACTAATACCAGAGGGTAGCCAACCTGTGTCAAAATCACATTAGCTACTCTAGGAGAACATCTCAAGTCTCAAACTTGCATCATGCCGTATCTGTATGTGGAAATTTGAGGGACTGGTTTCTTCAGAGGGTCACATATTTAAAGCTTCCATTTAGGACCTCAAAACGGACTCCTTTTCAGGGTGAGGAAACGAGTGAAAAAAGTGAGTAGTATTAAGTGCTTTTCAAACTAAGATCATACCTGCCATGTGCAGTTATACTGAAATGATCAAGTATCTAATACAATCAAATTCAGTCTAATATACAAGCGCATAGCTACAGCTCTTGACTTCCCCATCCAAAACATCAAAAAAGTCAGACTCGCTTTCTATCTGGCTCTCTGGATTCACAGTAAATTTCTGCTAATGCTTCAGCCCAGAACCTTTGCACTATTGGTGCCCAGGCCTTAAAGCAGCAGTGGGTAGCAAAGCCAGTTAATCCATTGCTCACAAGCTCCTGTGAATAGCAGCTGCACAGAAAAACCCACTCAGAAACAGGAGTATAGCATCTAAAGAGACACATTATTGGGTAACATTGGTTAGGCTGCTAGCTGAACCACTCAATCCATTTTCACTCTTCTGGAGCATTTTCACAGCACTCGGCACCTGCAGTCCAGTACTCAATGCAAGTCCGCCACACCAGACCTAGAAGATAAACCATTACACAAAGCTACAATGAGTCAATGTTTCAAAGCCAGTAAAATCCATTCCCCCCACCCCCCACCACACACATTTTCAAATGCAAAATTAAAGATGAACTTTACATCCTAAAACTACAGTTGTCCTTTTCAGGAAACACCCACTTCCTACTCTTCAGTCAATGTACTGGACGGGGAATTCTACTCAAAATAACCTTCAAGTGTCTATGAGAGGCACTGCCTAGTACACAGTGATGTCTTGATGAAGATTGTCAGAGGGGACAGGGAGTTAAAGCATAGAAATCAGAAGCGAGTTCCTTCAGGGATTTAAGGAAAAACGACCCAGTAAGTGGGATAAAATACAACATGGTTTTACCAAGGGTAGCTTGTACCAGACCAACCAGATCTCTAAGATATTGATTTTTCAGACAAACGAAATTCAGTAGATCTACTCTACCTGGATTTCAATAAGGTATTTGACAGTTTCATGTGGGAGAAGATGGGGATTGATACAAGAATTGAAAGGTGGGTATGGAACAAGTTAAAGGATCATGACAACAGGTGATACAGAAAGGTGACCTGTCAGACTGGGGGAAGGTTACTAGCAATGTTCTTCAGGGATCCGTTTTGGGACCAATCTTATTTAACATTTTCATTAATGACCTTGACACAAAGTGGATGAGCGCTAATAAAAAGGTTGCCCATGCGATCTTAATTTTGTCCCTTTGTGCATCCACCCTATGTACTGAATAATGCAGAGGTCCTAAAAGAAAAAAGGATAATACACCTGTACCGCGATATAACACAAATTCGGATATAACATGGTAAAGCAGCGGGGAGCCCCGGGCCCTTTAAAACGCTGCTCGAGCCCCGCTACTTTACCACATTATATCTGAATTAGTGTGGAGCCCCAGGCCCTTTAAATCCCCGCCCGAGCCCGGCTGCTGGAGCCCCAGCAGCTGGGCTTGGGCGGTGATTTAAATGGCCTGGGGCTCCCTGTAGCAGCTGGAGCACCGGGCCCTTTAAATCACCACCAGGGAAGCTGGTCCAGTCCGGCATGCCGTACCGCTTTTGCCCGTACGCTGTACCTAATCGTACCGGCTTACTTTCACCTCTGGCTAGAACGCGGTGAGATTTTTTGGCTCCCGAGGACCGCATTATATCAGGGTAGAGGTATATATTGAGAGACTGTGCATATGCATGATGATATGAAGGGGAAGAATTTAAGGATGCCTGTGCAACCTCACTTCTGTTATTTATTTCTTACCTTGAGTGTTTGACTGCAACCTAAATGTTTTTGTAATGCCCATCTTTTTAAAAAAAAATATAAAAAGGAGTGAACAAATGTTATTGTGTGCAACTAACTCCCCCTCCCAGCTCCCCACAAAATCCCACAACACATTCTGAGCAGGGGTTGAATCTTCAATATTGCATCACAGATAGCAACCCTGTCCTGTAGCTCAAGAGGTAGGAATCCCAGAGGAGGGGTTGACCAAAGTCCAGGTGCTTGATGAGGGAAGCCCAGACAAGTCCAGCTGTGTCCCTTTACATGATGTGAGTTGGAACTGCTGCCCTATGTGGTTCCCCCAGCCTGTCTCCTCTCCCACTACTGCTCAGGGATGCTCAGCCGGACTCCTCTCCCACTACTGCTACTCTGACAGCTCCTAGAAAAGTGTGCTCTGCTGCCCAAACTAGATACATAGCATGCTTGGTTATTTTGGCAGGCAAGAAGGGAAATGGTGATTTTTAAAGCTTTTGTTGAGATATAAACTTAACAGACTTCCCCTGCTGCACAATGAAGGCCTACCACAAACAAAAGAGGAAAGCTTCTCAAAGAAAATGCTCACAAGAATCCCATATGCCAAGTGTTAGGCAACCAAAACAGAGGTCAAAACATATCAGTGCTAAAAATAGAAGTAAAGTTAATTGGGTACTGACCATGAAACCTGGTAGTAGTGGTTGGGTAAATTTTGTTTTGAAGGTGTATAACAATTGCTTTGAACTTGCATTATAAAATGAGAGCTGACCTGAAAGAGAAAAGCAGGTTTTAAAAATTGCTAACATCAAGTTTCATATACAGACAAGAAGATATAAATTCAAAACTGGTCTGAACAATGAAGGACCAGAGCCCCAAAAGAGGATACAAAGTGACAGGTACCACTCAGGCAGTCAGCATACTGCAAATGTCAGCAAGAAATGTGTTACTCTTCATTCCTGGAATTTGGAGCGGTATGATATGGGTTTTATATGTGTAGTTCATAAGTTCTTATACCTGCTATTGTCAGGAGTTGCTTCGAAGAGTTGGTACTTGATCAAAAAGCCATCTCTTATGAAGTTAAAGGAATTTCAACTAGTGCCATATAGTCCACATCCTTATTTCAGCAAACGATCAAATACTACCCGCTTTACAGAGCTGTGTGTTAGCCTGGTTACCTTATTGCATAGAAAAGGTCACCACCACCTGTGAGTGGCCAAAGAGTACAGTACAGATCTAAGAACAGCAGCTGTCCAAAATATCTGTGGCAGCATTGCAAAGTAAGGGCTGAGAAGGCAATGCAAGTCAGTTCACAGAACTTGCAACGAAAGAGAAAGCCCAAGGCAGTAAGCCCAGGTAACCTCTAAGTTTAGTTTTATTCTAGTGGCAGTTTCCATAGTACTTGTTGTCTAGACAGTATTTTAAAAAAGTTTTATTTTATTGCTCTTTCCATTTGACAAATAGCTAAAGTCATCTTTTGGTTAATCCAAGTTCATCAGGGTATCTGAAAATGGGACAACTACTGGAAGACAAACAGTGATTTACAACATATTACCATTAAACCACTGCTTCTCTGTTCATAACCCTTCAACTACTTATTTATCAAGTAAGTTGTGAGAGGTAGGACAAGATGTATGTCTATTTCTTAGTTCCATATTTGCTGAATGTTTTCACCATTTTTCAGAAGTCTTCCCTCACACATTATATCCAGACTTTTAAAAATCTGTGATACAGAAAAATGTCCAGTGTTCATAACTCTGGTTTTCAAATGGAGCCAAGTAATTTGACAGTTATGTACAGTACCTTCGCGTCTCTCTCAATATGGTCTCCCTCCTCACCACGAAAAGGCAGATTAGTGTTGCTCCTAGGTTGAATCCTAATGTATTTCCACAACATTTACAGTATTACATACTTCTGCAATTTGGTAGTACCAAGCCATTACTAAATTTCAATCTATGAAGTCCACAAAAATATAAAGTTACCTCCATCAAAGTCACAGTACACTCCTATTCTGTCCGGAACAGTCATATCTAGGGCTTTGGCTTTATTATTGTGCTTTGCAGCAAAGGTGGTTTGTAGCCAGTTGTTGACATGGATACACCAGCTTGTGTTAGTCTTTCCCAGTTGATCAAATTTTCCCAGATTTTTATACGCTACTCCCACACTGTAGGATTTGCAGTCCTTCTGGGCTCTCACCTCCCAGTAGTGCTGTCCACTTTCAATAGCAGTGTCTCCTGTAACAGATCACAAATGTAGGGTTTTTTTGGTTTTATAGATTTCCCACTGGGCAAAACAATGAAGCATACTCAAGAAATAATTGCTAGGTAAAGACTTAGATGATGTAGACAGTGAGCCTTGTGGAAACAGACCAAAATCCAATAAATTTAAGACTATTAGAAACCTTGTGTATATTCATCACATTCAGTTAAGATGGAACAGAGAGGCTTTTTCTGCTCTCTACCGAAGACAGGTAATTTAACAGAATGCTGTATTTAACAAAACAAGTGCACCTTGATGCTATCACAGTTGGCACATTAGAAAATGTCATTAAGCAGAAGTATTTTAGCTATCTTTTGGATAACCTTACAATAAAAGACTACTTCTCAAATGCTAGAATTTCCTGCATACATAAGTATCTTCAGTCCCTGAATGAGCACAAGGACCTCTGCACAGATCTAAAAAGGAGAATCTAGAATACAGATCCCAGTCTGAGCCCAGGCTGGGGGGAAGTCATTGTCAGAAAAACCTTGGGATTACAAGCTACAAATTCTCTCCTGATGGAAACCCAGATCTACAGTAACTCCTCACTTACTGTCCTCCCGCTTAACGTTGTTTCAAAGTTATGTTGCTGCTCCATTAGGGAACATACTCGTTTAAAGTTGTGCAATGCTCCCTTATAACATCGTTTGGCTGACTTTACAAGGGAGCATTGCACGAGTTCCTCTTCTCCGCCTCCTCCCCCTCCCTGCGCTTTTCTCCAGCCGGCTTTGAAGGGGAAAGCACCGCTTCTCTCCGGCCGCTGGCTGCGCGGCTGCCCCTGCTCCTCCTGAGTCCTCCGGCCCATGCTTGCAGGGCCGCATTCCGAAAGGGGCTTTAGAGCTGCAGGCCAGGGCCCTGCAGCCCCTGCGTTCCAGGTGGCCCTGCCTGCGGGGAGGAGGGGGGGCAGCTCCCAGAATCGCGGCCATGGGGGCAGTGCCGTGCTGCACAGAGCCACCTGCACATCCCCTTCACCAAACAGGAGCTACCCCTCCAGCCTGCCCCAGCCTCCTCCCGCATCCCCACCCTGAGCGCCCTCCCACACCCTAACTCCCTCCCAGACCCTGCACCCCCAGCCCTGAGCCCCAGAGGTAAGCCGGGGCACCTCCCCACCACAATACAGTACTGTACAGTATATAATGCCTTTTGTCTGCCCCCAAAAAAGTTTTCCTTGGAACCTAACCCCCCGCATTTACATTAAATCTTCTGGGAAAACTGGATTTGTTTAACATTGTTTCACTTAAAGTTGCATTTTTCAGGAACATAACTACAATGTTAAGTGAGGAGTTACTGTATCTACCCTTGCTCAAACACTAAGTAAGCATTAAAGCAAAAAATTCACCCTACCCAACACTGTGTATGATTCACCAGTAAAGCGATCTCTGCTGCCCCTTATCGATGGTGACCTCGAACTAACAGAAGTCCTCTTTGGAGATGGTGTGCCACTTCTATAAAACAAGAAATAAAATAATTTGCACTCCAGTACGGGGACGTTTATAGACCAGTCAAATAATTGACAGGAAGTTTTATTTCTCTTGCAGGATACAGATTAGTTTATGTGAGTCATGCCTGAAGTGTTAGGTGCTTGTGTTGCAATTTCAAATGGCATGCTGGACCAGCCATTAGCTGCACTATAAACTCTTCTACATAGAAATGAGCTAGTGATCATGCACAAGGAGGGCTGACGGAGAGGAAAGAAAATGAAAAGCAAACAAAAAAAGATTTAATGAAAATGAGGTAGTGAAGAGGAAAGCCAGGAGCGCTGAACAAGGGAATGGGAGGAGAGTAAAATCAAAATTTAGAATTTAAATGAGTCATTTGTCATTCAAATTATATGCAAGAGGTAAATACGTTTTCCCCAATTTCTTGTAGAAACCTAGAAAGTTTTGATTGCCATTTTCCAACATCAAAATTTGTAAGTAACTAATCAACATGGCACGTCACTTTTTATTGATATTCAGGTGTATAGTGAAGCATGAGACAAAGTGTTGACGTTCATCACAACACAGCCTGGAATGTCATTGCAATTTTTAAAGTTGCTTGCAGAAAAAAAGTAGCAGGTCTATACGCCCATTGATAAATCCTATGGGCACTTTATTATATTTTTAGAGAAGTTTGTTTGCCTCTTGGATTCTTAATGCTACAGTAACACTGAAGAGAATCTTTTAAAGGAGATATTAAAGATCTAAAAAGCATTTTACTACACAACTTAATGGGCCTGATGCTAGTATTTCTGTAAATACTAAATACAAGTTGGTGTGCTGAATTTCAATAGATGACGGAGGTGGAAAAAGCTAGCTGAGATTCAGCAGCTCAATACTTTCTTTTAATGCATTAAAACCAGCTACTTATAAAGCAATGTTCTTCCACTCAAGAATGATGATCAGACCAAAAAAATGCAAGGGAGTAGATATGGTCTACTTCTTGTTACTATATTGGAGAAGCCTCTAAAGGTTGTTAGATACATTAACGAATGTACCTCTCAGACTTGTAGTGAGAAAGTACTCACAAACTGGGGTTTGTGAACCCCGGGGGGGGGGGGGTGTCACCAAATGTTACAGGGGGCTCTCGGAAAAAAATTCCCTAGTGGCGGACAGAGCTCTCCATAGGGATCCCAGGCAGCACGGGGATAGCAGCCTGGAGCCTTGGGGACTTCCAAGAGCTAAGCAGACCAAAGTAAGCATATCTATCACACTGAGGAGATTTAAACTTCAAGACTCCTTATAAGAAATGGAAAGGGAGGTGGATATTTTTTGCTGTTTTTAAAATTAAATAGGCAGCTAGTATTGTTTTTAAAATTATTATGAAGAACAAGTTTAAGCTTTGTTGTAACATGCATTGTTTGCCTGGACTGCTCAAGACCTGAATGCTTGTGTAGGAGGAACTCTTGAGTTGTCTTCTTAAATACCTTCATGCTGTTTCACATCTGATACTCCTTGATGAAACATAGGAGTCAGAGGTGCCAGTATGGGGGGGGGGGGGAAGAGGGAGAAGGGGCTTTAAAAGCTTAAAGTTTTTACCCTGGGAATGATTTCTAATCTATATTGAAATAAGAACATCCTTTTTAACTGTAACGTCACTGTGTAATATCAGCGTGATGGAATACTGTTTCTCAAGTGCATGCCTATAGTCAAGGTTCCAGCATTTAACTGTTCTGAGACCAATTACAGCATTTTGCAAGACAGATTAGTAGTGTTCTCAAATTGTGCTAAAATACTTGGTCATGTCCCTGACCTGATTATAGTTTAGATACACCTTAAGAAGCAGACTTTAATTTGCCAGATTGTAGGATGTCATAGCAGCTCCTAAACTGCTTGCAAAAAGAGGAACAAGGTGGGTGGGATAGTCTTACTTCTATTGGTGAAAGAGACACGTTTTTGAGCTACAGACCTCTTCAGACCTGTCTTTCACCAACAGAAGTTGGTCCAATAAAAATATTACCTCAGCAGCCTTGTCCCTCTAATATCCTGAGACCAATATGGCTACAATACTGCAAGAAGAGGGTATAAAATAGGATAACAGTACTTTAAAAGCAGCATATAACAGTTTCAAAGCAAGCCGAATGAAACATTAAGGCTTGTGATAAACAGGAATAAAAAGTAACAGTTTACTTACCAAAAGAAAAGAAAATAAGTGAAAGCATGAAAAAGAGCAAAGCCAAGAATTAAAGCACATTTTCAGAGGGGAAAACAATATCCACTGCAACATTCCATCCTGCTCCATGTACGCCACTGCTGAGAAGCCATCCGCTTCTGTTTTCTATCAGAAGCAAGACCTTAGATTTTCCTTTTAGATGAATTTCCAGCAAGGTATGCAGAAAGTGACATGGTCATTTAGAGACTCATCATTTGACAAAAAAGGTAGCATACTAAAAGCAGACATTTTGCAAGTTGGGATTTTTCCTCCACTCAATTTAAAACAAAAGTTACTCCAAACATTGAAAACATGCTACTTTATTTGAGGGGGGGGAAAAAAAAAAAGTGGTCTGTAAATGACCATTTCATCCAATGGTTTGACCTTCTCCACTTGACTCCAACAGCCTTTAACAGTTCACACAGTAACCTTTACTACCTTGGAGAAAGATGAGTAAATAAGGTAGTGTATTTTTAAACAATATTAAGCTGTCCTTTTCACAAAAACTAGCAATCAGAGGAGTAAGTCTGGGATAAAATAGGCACAAAACAAGTTTGTTAGCGTATCACTTGCTACTGGGCCTTTTTCAAATTTTATTCTAATGCATTCTTGGAAACACGGTCCAGAACAGAAGGTGGGGCAGTAGCTTCTCCCAAGCCACCAGCACTAAGAACCAGAAAGCTTGTCTAATAGCTTCTCCTGGAAGCTAGACTGTGCAGGGGGACTGGCTCCTTTCACAGAGAAAAATATCAAGAGAGTTGGCTAGAATTTTTCTATGTGTTGAACATTTTATGTCCATGAAGAGAGCAGTGCACAGAAATCCAAGAAATAATGGAACAAGTAGTGGTCCTCTCTAGAAGCAGCAGCAGAAAAAGAAGTTAACATTTAGTTTCAGGAAGCATGCCAAAGAGTAAGGGCAATACACTCATCTCAGGAGCGGTTTTGGATAGATTTTACTGCTGCTGACCTCCCAGGCAGTCAAGTTTATAACATGTATGCACGATGAGAAGTACGGGGAGGGAGAGATACAGGAGAGAGTGGGCAATAGTGCATTTTTATTTTGATCCCATAACTAAACCAATGAAAAGGAAAAGATAAGCTGAGGAAGGAGAATCTGTAAAGAAATTCCACTCAGCAAAAGTTTCATTAGGTAAAGTCATAGGCAATACTCTGCGTTTCAAATACAAAAAACACATTGAGCATCATAGACCATTCTTCAGTTCACTGCCAGTTCCCCCTCCCCCCCAAAAAAAGTCAGAAAATTTTATCCTGGGTGAAAAATATTTAATTCCTATTTCAACCGGGGGGGGGGGGAAGAGGGGGAGAGAGAGAGAGAGAGAGCGCGCTCTCAGTGGTTTGAGCATTGGCCTGCTAAACCCACGGTTGTGAGTTCAATCCTTGAGGGGGCCATTTAGGGAACTAGGGTAAAAATCTGTCTGGAGATTGGTCCTGCTTTGAGCAGGGGGTGGGACTAGACCTCCTGAGGTCCCTTCCAACCCTGATAGTCTATGATTGTATGATTAAGGAAAATTTCAAAACTAAGTTGTTTTGAATAAAAGTAAAAACTTTTGAAAGTCTAAAAGTGAATTGGTTAAATTTTTTTTGAATTTAGGATTTGACTGAAACAATTCAGCAAAACCATTTTACAAATTCGTAAAGTGATTTGGTCAACCCACATCTTCATTTTTCACCAAAAAAAAGGGTCAGATGAAACATTTCAGCCAACTCCAATTGTAAAAAATTCATTGCCTTTAAAAAGGAAAAAGTATTGGTGTAAAAGAAAAAACTATACAGGTGTACCAGTACTTCCAATCAGGCAAGTCTGATCATCAGGATAGCCATGCAATTCAGACCACTAATCAATGTAGTCTAGTATTCAGTCTCTAAAGATGCCCAGTAGCCTCAGAGGGGTGGGGGGGGAGACAAGAAGAGAGAGGGTAAGAATCTATAGATGCTAACTCATGGTTTAACTCTATCCATCTAATAGGTAGCAAGCTATAGGTATGGCATACCATTTCGGGGCTGAAGGCATTAAGGGTTCAAGCGTGAGGGACAATGTACTGAATAGAGAAAAACAGTGATTCACCTTCTCATAACTGTTGCTCTTGCCCATTCCAATCAGGTGTGCGTGTGCCGCATGCACAACAGCCAGAAGATTTTCCCCCTAGCAGAATCCGTAGGGTCAGCCTGGGTGCCCCCTGGAGTCGTGCCTTCATGGCACTCAATATAGGGCCCTGCCAACCCGATCCCCCCCTCAGTTCCTTCCTATTCTGACAGCGGGGTAGGAGGGTGGGTATTGGAATGGACATGAACACCACATCTCGAAGAACAGTTACAAGAAGGTGAGTAACTGTTTCTTCTTCGAGTGCTTGTTCATGTCCATTCCAATCAGATGACTCCCAAGCCTAAGTTCTGGAGGCAGGGTTGGAGTGGTCTACTGATTGGAGCAGCACACTACCAAAGGCTGCATCATCTCTGGCTTGCTGGGTGAACGCATAATGTGTAACGAAAATACAAATGGAGAACCATGTCACCGCTGTGCATATTTCCTGGGTAGGAACGTGAGCCGGGAATGCTGTTGTAGAGGCCTGTGCCCTGGTGGAGTGCACAGTAATCGGCTGGGCAACCACCCCTACCAAAATTATAGCACTCACGTATGCAGGATGTGATCCATGACAAAATCCGTTGAGAAGAGACAGGAAGACTTTTCATTCGGTCTGCCAAAGCCATGACTAGTTGAATGGACTTTTGGAACGGCTTTGTTCTCTCAATGTAAAAGGCTAGCGCTCTGTGTACATCCAATGAGTGAAGACTC